TTTTCAATTTACTAATAACTAATTTTTGGTGTTCTTTCTTGTCTTTGTCTACTTAACCCTAGATTCGTATATTTTACGAAAACTATCCAACTTCTTAAAAACTTGAAACTATGTATATGTCGTAGAATTTCGAGTGTTCGTCTAGCTCCCTCAATCGGTTGGGCGAACTGGTAGCGGGTATTACGACCATTTTTTAAACCTTTGGGCAATTTATTATAGCAATCTAGTAAAATTACCCTAGCAAGCTCTTTGTTTTGGTTTGGTACTAATCCTATGATAGTAATTTTGGTTCTGTCCGTTCTGTTTAGCACTATGTAGAATACACTGGGCTGTAGTAACTCTTTTCACTACACTAGTTCAAATGGTTTTGTTCTTTTCAGACTTCTAACTAAGCCACTTCTAGCTATCACTATTTAGGAGCTGGTGGGCCTCGATGTTGATGTCTGATGGAGCCTCTCTTCATGTCTTAAGGCATGTTTCCTGATGACATTGTCGACATCATCCACTTCTAAGTCCTTATGCAGATTGTTATTGCAAATTTACCACATGCGTCAACAATACCTCTTATGAGGTGGCTTTATCCTGACGAAAGTTCAAACTGTCGAAACTTTCGTGTAGTATCGGGGGCGGTCGTGCGGAGCCGACTGTAAACCGCCTAAGCTCCTCCTCCTTTCTTCGTTTAGGATATGTCTAGGCCGAAACAGAAAAAAAACGTGTTCTTCTTTCAAATTTTTGGGCAAATAGACAAAAATTTGACGTTTATCCCTAGATCATATACATTTTTAAGATATTTGTATATAAATTATATATGATCTAGGCATTTATCATGTGATGAGCAGATTTTATTCAAATATTTAAATTAATCTTTAATAGCATTATGTAATAGTTAATATCTTTATGGGTAATTACCCTTTTATGTAAATATTTTTTAACAATGAATCATTTTGAATGTAACATTGATTTTTGATTTAGTGCTGGTTTGGCAGATTAAGATTTATGATGTTTTCATAATGTTTTCCGTCAAAAGAAATTTATATTTATGAATTAGTTTTCAGCGGAAGGCTTTAGTAAAAAATTCGAACCTTAGTAACCGTTTTCTTTTTGCCAAAAAGGTAGATATTTTTTTATGTTAGAAGTTATAACTTCATCAAAATAAGCATGTGAATATCTTGACTTGGTGTTTGTAGTCTACTTTAAGTGGTACTGAATTTATTAAAATAAACGTTGTTTTCTACATTTCCGTTTTATTTCAATAACAAAATACTGGTCCTACACTAGTGTAATAACAAAGACATCTAAATTTTAGCCGAACACACGCTGACCATTTTATAATCTGATTTGGTCGATTTATGATAGAATTGCAGGAATTGTATCACCTTCAACGAAATCAGCTAAGAAGTATTTAAAATATTAAAACAAAACCTTACGAGGGAAAAAATAAAAGGCAAAACCGATTTTTAAAAGAATTTAATATAAGTATTCCAAAAAAATATTTTAACGCCACATGATGTAACACAAAATGTAGGTAAACATCAGTTATAAAAAAAACATTAGAAATTTATACAGTATCCTTTAAGCTAGTCTCACGTTTTTCTGCAGAAATAAGTATTTTAATTCAACACATTCACTCTGTCACAATAACTACACTAACTATATCAACTGGTTAAGCTCCGCATTATGAATATTCTTCACCCGGTCCTATTTTCAAAGTGAAATAATGTAATTTTGATCATGATTTATAAACAATATTATTTCAATGAAACTTTTGCTTTTAATTTTCCTGCCATGCTGATAATTGCTTTGGATTTGTATTAACATTTTCAGGGTTAGAGTTCAGTATAGTTTGATGTTGAAACCCTTTCTAACACAATCTCAGCTGCAGGCTTCAGGTTTACATACTATTCATACGCTGTAGATTTTTGACCTAAAAGAATTACTAAATATAGAAAAACTATGGGGAAAAAGTGTTTATCATAAGCCTTACTTTTTGCTTTGATAAGGATATGGCCTGCAACTTTAGGCTTCCATAATCACTAACAAAATCTTGCTTTAAAATATTTGAACACACGCCTCCTATTTCCTTTCAATTTCTGGAAATTTGGAAGAATTCATGGTGAACACTACTAATAATTTCCGTGTTTCTTATATCTTTGAAAACTCCACTTGGCAGTCTGGGCTAGCATTTAAAATAAATATCAAAACTAAGGGCTTCTATTTTCTATGTTATTCACAAGTTAAATTTTTGGTTTGTACCGATTCCGCATTTCTAGGCTTTCAGGTTCTAATTTTGCAAGATAACTTTACATTTTAAAGTATTTTATGTGTATATTTCCACCAAAAACAAATTGCGTTGACTTTTGTTTACAATTTAAAATACAAATAACGAGGGGAGGAGCCGAGATTCGATAACTTCTAATCGGGACCATTCGGTTTACCGTTCGCTTGCGTTCGGGTTTTCGATAACTTGGGCTTTCGAGAGTTTATGGTTCTCCCCCTCGTATTACCTTGTTTTGGAATCTTTGGATAATATTTCTGTTGTTTTGTTTGGTACAACCCCAGAGTTGAAGTCCATATTGGCTTCAGGACTTGTTGATAAAGCAAAAGCTTGTTTTGTATTGACATGGTCGTGGATCGAATGGAACCAATACATTTTCCTGTACTTTAATTTAAGTTCTTTTCACATTTTTCTTCGAATGCGATTTCCAACTGAATTTAGTATCAAGTGTCATGCCAATAATAATAATAATAATAATAAATAAGGGGTGCAAGTTGTCACCTCCTCGTGGTGCACCTCGGGCAACGGTTATCAACCGGCAAACGACAACACCACTAAAAGGGTTTACCTCCCTTTTAGTGTGAATACTGGGTTCCTAAATCACAGGACGAAGCCTCGGACGAGCGGCATCACGGTCGGGAATGCCGCGGGAATTCACAGCCCGACCATAGGACGACTGACCCGGCAAACAAACAGGAACAGTCCGTTGGAGCTGCTTTGCGGGAAATGCTTCCGGCAACCACTCAAACGGGTAAAACTCGGCAAAGGATGAAGTGGAAAGATGAAATAAACAGAATGCTCATCCGATGCTATTTCAAAGTCACCAAACTGGAATCAGATATGACTCAATACAAACAAAAACTTCGCACTGAATTTTTAAATAAATACCCGGAGCTATCGAACATCGTAAGTGAACAAAGGCTAGCAGATCAGATAAGAGTCATTATCAGAAATAACCGAATACCGCAAACCGAAAGAGAACAGATAAAAGAAGAAGTGAGTAATGACCTGAAACGAGAAAATACCACCATAGAAGAAACAACTGATGCAGAAAATACCAACATAGAAGAACAGAATATGCTAAACGAACAAAATCAAAGTACAGTACAGAGAGTGACAAGAGATGAAGAAACATCTAATGGATCTCTTCAGAATCTAAGGGAAACAAATAAAAATAAACTAATAGGTGAAATGGAAACAAACAAAATTAAATGGAATGGTAGTGACCCAACAAAAAGACCAAAACTTATATTCAAAAAAAAACATGTGCCCTAATAACAACTATGAACTCCGAAATACTTCCACTTTATATATCACAACAATCTACATTGGAAGATATACACGCTCTCATATATATGGCAGCCCTAACAATACTTACATGCAACGAACAGACAATAAAAAAGCGAACTCAACAGAAGAAAGAATGGAAACCTACTTGGCAAACACGTATAGAAAAAAAGATAGACAGTTTAAGAAAAGAACTTGGCAGGATCACTCAGTACATAAAAGGAAATAAATCAGAGAAAGTCAAAAAACACGTAGAACAAATTATGAAAAATAAAAAAGAAACTTTAATTGAAACTCAAGACACAATTAAACAAAAGCTAGCTGTATATGCAGCAAGACTACATAGATACAAAAAATCAAACCAAAAACGAAATGATAATAACCTATTCAACCAAAATGAAAAGCTTTTCTACAAGAAGCTCGCAACCAACAAAGAGACTCATATAATTGCACCCACAGAAAACGAGATTAAAATATTTTGGCAAAATATATGGTCGAACCCGGTAGATCATGATGAAGACGCATCATGGATAAAGAATGAAGAGCATAGACATCTAAACACACCACAACAAGTCAACATCAATATTACTACAGAAGAACTTTCGCAGATTATAAAAAAGACGCACAACTGGAAAGCGCCAGGTGTCGACCAGATCCATAACTTCTGGTATAAACAATTTACAACCACACATGTGTACCTCGCAAAGTACATTAACGGAATTATAGAAAGACCAAACTTAACTCCAAAATTTTTGACCGAAGGAGTAACCTATATTAAACCAAAAAATAATGAAACACAAAACCCCGCCAACTATAGACCTATCACTTGCTTACCAACATTATATAAAATTATTACAGCAGTCATATGTCAGAAGATAAATCAGCACTTATCACAGCATAATATACTTACAGAGGAACAAAAAGGATGTAGAGAACAGAGCCAAGGATGCAAGGAACAGTTAACCATTGATGCGGTAGTAATGGGCCAAGGTGTCAAGGAATGTAGAAATCTCCACGTAACTTATATCGACTACAAAAAAGCGTATGACTCCATCCCACATAGCTGGTTAAAAAAGGTTCTTCAAATCTATAAAATCCATCCAATGCTTCAAAATTTTCTAAGTCAAACAATGCAGTCATGGAGAACAAGCATCCATCTAACAACCTGTAATGCAAATATACAAACAGATACAATCCCAATCAAAAGAGGAATCTTCCAGGGCGATTCCCTAAGTGCACTGTGGTTTTGTATATGCCTTAACCCACTCTCCAATACTTTAACGAAACAGCATATGGCTTTAACATTAAATACGAAAAATCAGTAAGACATAAAATTAACCATCTCCTATACATGGACGACATAAAACTATATACAGCGACAAAAACAGAACACACCGAGCTACTTAAAATTCTAGAAAAATCCACAAACGACATAAAAATGGAATTTGGGATGAACAAATGTAAAACACTACACATAAACAGAGGTAAATGGCAAAACGAAGAGCAGGCATCTACATTAAACAATGAACACTTAGACAACATGCAACCCAACGAATATTACAAATACTTGGGAATTTTACAAAACAGAAAAGTTGACCATACCGCACTCAAAACCCAACTAAAAGAACAATACAGGAAAAGACTAAGTAAAATACTGAAAACCGAACTAAATTCAAAAAACACAGTTAGAGCGATTAACACCTACGCCATACCGCTGCTCACCTATTCATTTGGAATCATTAAATGGTCCAAAACAGATCTGGAAAATTTAAATATTCTGACAAGAACTCAGCTAACTAGATTCCGACAGCTGCATCCCAACTCTTGCAAGGAGAGGCTGACCATTGAAAGAAAAGAAGGAGGTAGGGGCCTGACAGATATTCACGAAATACACAACAAACAGATTAATTCACTAAGAAAATACTTTAAAGAAAAAAATACCTCATTACACCAAGCAGTAACTATAGCGGATGCTAACTACACACCATTAAATCTTAACGCAGAAAATATTCCTGTTTCAAATATACTCACATTAGAGGAAAAGAAAAACAAATGGTCCCAAAAGCAACTACATGGAAAACACTGTCATATTATGAACAACCCCGACATCGATAAAGAACTGTCATATTCATGGCTACAAAAAGGGCAACTGCAACCGGAAACGGAGGGATTCATTATAGCGATACAAGATCAAGTAATAGCAACGCGCAACTACAGGAAATACATAATAAAAGATAGAGCCCAACAAACGGATACCTGCAGGCGTTGCCACCTCCAAAGTGAAACAATAGAGCATATTACAAATGGTTGTAAACTACTCACTGGTACAGAATACACTCTAAGGAATGACTTTGTTGGGCGTATTATACATCAAGAAATAGCAAAAACATATAAATTTATACAAGAAGAACAGCCCTATTACAAATACACGCCGCAATCTGTCTTTGAAAACGACACTATAAAACTCTACTGGGACAGAACGATCCATACTGACAGGACAGTAACATGCAATAGACCTGATATAACGTTAACACTAAAAAAAGAGAAAGTAACATATATAATAGAAATCAGTGTTCCGAATGACAACAACATAACAAAGAAATATGAAGAAAAAATTAGCAAATACATTCCACTAACACAGGAAGTAGAACGAATATGGCAACAAAAAGAAGTTAAAATCCTACCATTTATTATATCTAGCACGGGCCTCACACACAGGAAATTTAAAGAAAACCTCGATATTTTAAATTTAAAAGGTCATATTCACACACTTGCTCAAAGAGCAGTAATTATTAAAACCACAAACATAACCCGCTCCTTCCTAAAACAATAGAAACAAAACAATAGAAACTCTGACAGTACTTGGTAATTAACACCCGTCTGTCAGAATATACCACCAAGAGTGAGAAAAAAAAAATAATAAATAATCTTTATTTCAAAAGTATGTTAAATAACATAAAACGAAACAGAGTCAAAAACAAAAATAACTTAACCTAGTTTTATGATTAATTTACATTAATTTACAGATAGGTAATCCTTTAAATTATATGGTTCCAAATCTATTAAAAATTTATACAAATGATTTTTGAAAGGTACGATATTATCTATTTGTTTCATATAATCAGGTAGGTTATTAAATAATTTCAAACAATAATAATATGGTCCTAATTCTGTTAATTTAAGCCTGTGGACTGGATAATTATAATCAGAATGCCTGGTGTTATACCTATACTATCTGTGGCTTATCAATTTTAAATAGGTTTTTAATTTTAAAGAAAAATAAAGTGCACTCCTGAATTAAAATAGCTCTCACTGTTAGTATGTTATTCTCTTTAAACTTATTTCTACATGATTCCCTAATTTTCATGCCTAACATAACGCGTAGAGCTTTTTTCTGAACTAAAAATATTTTATGTAGTTCATTTGTACTTCCGTATATTACCATTCCATACCTGATGTTACTCTCAAATATGGCGTGGTATACACTTTTTAAAGTTTTAAAGTCTAAATATCTTTTTTTCTGAACAACATGTTTAACATGTAAACTCCATGAAAGATTTTTGTCTAGATATAATCCTAAAAATTTTACGTTGTTTTCTGGTGTTAAATGTGTATCGTCTGTAAGAATAATATCAGATTCTTGTATATTCGTGCGCTTCGTTTGAAAGAAAATAATTTTAGTTTTAGTTTTGTTCAAAATAAGCTGATTTTTGTTAAACCAAATGTTTGCATTGTCTATAATTTCCCTTGATCTATCTAACAACTCTGGCATTTTTTTTTTGGTTTAATGAGGAGATTTGTGTCGTCAGCATATGTCACTATGTTACAATAATTAATATTTTCTGTTATTTCTAATATACTCGTAGTATCAATATATTCATCTGTATTTTCGTAAGGAACTATTTGTTGATTTATTTAATATATTGGCTTTTTTGCTGTCCAGCGTTGTATTTCGGCAACGGCAGTTTGTAAATTTTCAGTTGACTTCATATTGTTGTCTGCGATGACTAGAATTGAAAGTAACAGCATTTTCATTGAACGTAAGCAGATAGCTAGTGTATAATAGGTAAAGGACCGGTCCCAAAACACTTCCTTACCTTACGCCTGCGCCTGCTTGAATTTTTCTTAGGTTAGAGTAGACATCATCTTGCTTAATCCTGAAGTAGCGTGCGGATATGTATGATTTTAAAATTTCTGAATACTGGGCGGGAGGTAGTATTTTAAGTTTGTGGTTCAAGCCTTGGTGCCAAACTTTATTGTGCGACATCTAGAAATGTCAAACACTGGTGCGACATCTAGAAATATTGCCGAACATACCTTCTTCTCTTCTGACTATTTCTCAATCACACTCATAATCCTGTGAACCTGGTCAATCTCGATAGATTTTGTTAGTAAGTGCCGACCTAAGTGCGTACGTTTCGTGAGCGCATAAGGAAAATGGGAAGACATTGTTTTTCTCTATTGTTGCATGTTAAGAATATACTAAATAGGTAATATAGCATATAACTCAATAGCATAATATGCTATTTAAATAGCAAAGGTAAGCTTTTTCTATTATTATGTGTAGAATAACAATGCTACTGGCAAACACCTTTAAAAAAGAAGCGCGCCTTTGGGTGGCGGTGGGTAATAAATGACACTTCGGTGAAATTTTTAAATTTTCAGTTAAAAAATATATCTTAAAAACATGACAACATCGATAGTAGATTAAAATTAGAAGAAAAAATTACAAAAAAAATACGATGGCTCTGAACATTTTTTCAAAAAAAAAACATTTTTTTTAAACTTTCAAACTTAAATAACTGGGTTACTTTGGACTTATTCGAAAAACTGCAAAGAGTAAATATGTTTCTTTTATCGAGATCTACCATCCCTGAAAATATTTGCACTTATTTAAGACTCACACTGTATTAGTCTAAGAACGAAATTAATGATATATTTCTTGCTGAATCATCTTTCCTTTATAGTTTTAAGCAAACATTTAATATTGTATTAAACGACAGCAAACGTCATGCAAATTTCCTAATCTGTTACAAAAATTTAAAAGCATATTTTACATTTACAGACCTAACGAAAAACGAAAAGAACCTAGAAACGAAATAACTGAAAATAAACTCGCAATCGTCAACAAATAGAAATCCTATTTTAAAAAGGTCTTCTTTATTTACTAAAAACACTTCAAAAATAAAATTTCGATCCGGCGGGAATTAATGTAATAACTTCAGGGGCCACGTGGAACCTTTCGTTTTCTCCTCTCGACTTTATTGATTTAGCAAAAGAAGAAAAAAAACGAAGTGTGTTCTGGGACTAGTTTCAATTTCAAAGGGCCGCTTTTCAATTAAGTGCACTTTTGAATGAGAGAAGACGGAGAACGTTTTATTTTCGAAATTGTCTTGGCACTAGGTTCTTTTTCCTGTTAATGGAAATTTCGTAAGATGAGAAACGGTTTGCGCTGCAATTTTTTGAAGTAAATAAAATAGTACTGAATTTAATCAAAAAGGAGAAGATACCGGTATAGATAGGAAACGCAGATATAGATTTCAGACTTTTGTGCTTTACAATAGGTAGATAAACTAGGGCGCTTCTGGACCACATATCCAAGATTACGGCGCACAGTGGATCGAGGTATACGGAAATATGGACATTTGCTTTTGTTTTAGAAATATTAGTCTGATTTGGACATTTTTGATTTTTTTTTGAAGAGAAATGACCATTAAATATTTAATTTTAGTCCCAAATTTGATTTTTCCAAGAACTCAAGATGGCGTCTTATACACCATAGTAAATACAGTATTTTCTAATTGCATGGCGATTTTTACCGACTTACTTGTGATATGTTTCCTACACTTTTAATTTTGACCATTAGCTGACAAGATTTCATTCATCATATTTATTTTTTAGTAGAAATTGCCATCTGACATTAGCTATCAGTTAACAAATATACAAGGTTGATTGTTGAAGATCGAATTGCTGAAGGACTCCTAAAGCTACACTTTAAAATTATTTGCAAAAGGTACAGAGTGTCCCAAATAAGTTGTACCAAAAATATCAAAATTCTATATTTTTAAATGGAATACTCTGTTATACCCTGGAATACTATGTTGCAATAATAAAAATAATACTACCTCATACAGAGTGTCTATAAATTTATTTTAAATAATTATTAGCTTTAAACAGCCATAACTTGTTTAATTTAAGGGGCGGGGGGGGGGGTGGACTGGACAAATCGCAAGGTCTTAATTCATATAGAATAAGAATATGATAAAAGTTCATTAAGTTTTGGAATGAGTATAAAATTATGCAGTTTAGTTTGTAATAGTGAATTTAATACGGAAATTCAAATAAAATATATATTCTGGAAAAACACTCACTGTAGTAGTATACTAGTGCATAAAATATATATTCTGGAAAAACACCCACACCGGAATAGTAGTGCACTGTTCAGTAGGTTATCTATAATAAAGTTATGACTATTTTTAACAAATTTGAAGACTTTAGAACACATTTATTCAAAATAATGTCTTAAGTTAGAAATTTTGCATAATTGCTGAATGTCCAACAAAATTGCATTGGGGCGATTCACTGTGCAGCGGTTAAAAAGCTGTTCAATAGCGGCCTGTTTCAAACAGGGTCTGTTCAAATCCTGTTCGATAGCGGTCTCTTTCAAACCGAGCCAGTTTCAAAGAGGCTCTGGTTCAAACAGCCTCACTCCTCCAACAGGGACCACGCCCTACTGCTAAGATTTGTGCTCCAAAAGCCGCCAGTTTATCTACTACAATGTTGCGAAAAAGTCAGTACAGTCTCGGAATTAAATACACCCAAAATATTCTAGCAGGACTATCCACTATCAAAACCACAGACCTATTAATTTGCTGCAATACGTGGCCAACCTCTAAAAAGAATGGGATTCGCTGAAAATGTTTAACGTATATTTATAAAAATAAATACATTATGGAAACCTGTCATAACAGCAGGCATTGGCAAAACAACAGATTCCTACCAGCATCAAATTGAACCTTACTTTACAGATAATTACGGCGATGCTTCCCCTACATAATATTTTTTACTTACGCCCGAGTGATTCGCTGTTGTATTGTTTCATCACACGTTGTTCCAGTTTGTTTTATAATATTTTAGTTCCATCTTAGATTAGACGGCTTCTTAGTTTTCATACACCTTTCGAGTATTGCTCTGTAATTCTTATATACTTTAACTTCCAGTCTACAGTATAGTAACCTACCTATTGTCATTTGATGATTGACTTAATACTGCAAATTACGTTCTTACTTGAGACTTCACTCTTGTCTACTATATCCTCTTGTGATTGTTTTATGCAATTCCAAGATTACCATGCATGCTCCATAGTCGACTTTTGCTCTACTGGAGATTTCCTTGTACATTCTTCTTGTAATGTTCAAATTTTACAGCTCTATTTCATAACAGGTAGTGTCAATATATCTAAAGCTTTGTTATTCCGACGGAACTGAATTATGGATTTAAAATAAGTGAATATATCATTTCGGGTATATTAATAAAATTTCGGATAATTTTCAGAAGGAGTGAATCAAAGTTGTCTATAAATTAATCCATGTATATGTATATATTTACTACTTCGATCACGCTGCGCTGGAGTAAAAGAATATAACCATGAAACAGTACTAAATATGTAAAACATTAAAGATCTCTTCAGAACCTTAAATAGTTGTATCTCAAAACAGATTGAGACTGAAATAAATCAATTAGAAAGGAAAAACAGTTATCGAGAATAACGTATCGCTTCCGCAGATTAGGAGGGCTGTAAGGAATCATAGAGAAGTAAATAAAGAAACAAGC